AATTTAAATTTCAATCCGCAATAATAACCGTAAATGATAGTTAATTCTTTAAAAAAAGACCTATGCATTCCTGTTTGCATTCGGATATAGTATATAAATTAATATTATTCAGGCAATTTAAACATTAAAAAAATTATGCTTTAGGATGCATCATAAAGATATCTTTGTATTTTTTACTTATTTATTAAAATATGTTTTTAATTGAATATTCTCACTAAAATCTGCCGGAAAAACCTCTAAATAAATATTCATTAGGTTAAAGTTTAAATGTCTTTTTATAGGGATCAATTGATCTAACATTACTTATTTAAGTTTGAAAAAAAATTCAAATTTGAAGGTAAACGGACAATTGATCTTCGTAAAAAGTAACTGAGTAGGTAGGTTCCTATATGGAACAATTTATAATAATATTATAATGGTCTTCAACCAATTTTTTTTTTATGCAATACATTTTATTGGAGATTTTTTTTTATTTTGCAGCATAATACATTTAAAAATACAAATTCAATTATCTCTTAGTCTCATTAACAAAAATATATCAACAGATGAAGCACATTTTTTTAAAGGATAATATAAGATACGAATTTGATTGGTTATAAATTATTATTTAGATTAACTGTTTTGAGGTCTACCGTGGTCTACATTCTTCAATATTAAATAATAAAATTAAAATAGGAACCAATTTTCCAGATACATCGTTTTTTGGGGGACCAATGTTGTCTTAAAAATTCAAATTTATATGTTTGTTTAATTCAGTTAAGCAATAACACACCCATTAAAAAAGAAAAATATCATTATTATCAACTCGATTTTCTATAAATTATGTTTTAAGAATGACGAGGTAATAGTGATTTTTTATTGTATCGTCATAACGGAACTTATACCGTAAACAATGCTAGTACTATACATTATATACATTATGTGTAAAACGAATTGGAGTCCTTAACCGACAACTGGAACAAAATCGTTAAACTGTATTTGCCGCTTTTATTAGGGCACTTTGTGCACTGGCCTCTACCGACTTGCTTGTCATTATTCCACCAAAAAGCGAGAAGAAATAAATTAATAAATTAAATAATTTTTCTTGAAAACCTAAATGCTTCGATTCTGGGGCAAATCAACCGAAACCATTGTGGCGAATGGTGCAGATGGCTGATAGGAATATATTATAAATATCGTTAAATACACTTTTTCACTATAATAAATATGATAAGTAATAACATAATAATAATACAATATGAATTATTTAAAGTACAAATAGAGTCAAAATGATAATTACACCACAGATAAATTTATGAGGTAAATAAGAGAATAAGTACCTATGTATCTTTGACGATGAAAGCAGGTTAGATTAGATTTATTAATAAAGGGAGAGAGACAGGATACTTTGTTTCCTCGTTACAGATGTTTTTAAGAAAACGCAGTGATCCAGTCCAACCTGTACATAATATAATATAGGCACGGACAGAAAAATGTAGAACGTGTTTGACCGGGCCATATCGAAATTAGTTGTTTTGTTGCTGTTGCAGAGTATTGACTGATGATTACTAAAGTACTGAAGTTGCGTCAAATCTTTTATAAATAAATAATCCAAGTAAACTACTAATGACAGTGTGTCCATTGAAAATTTAACCTAAAAGTTAACCGTAAGAATAGTTTAAGACTAGTAAATATATTACAAAGCGTTGGACTGCAATAAATTATTTTCACAAATTACACAAGTACGTATAATAATTATATGAAATAATATACATATTAATATTTTTGACTGTTGTAATAACACCGCAACGACTAATTGTGAGATGTTAAAAACTAAAATAGCCGATATTAAATATAAAGACTCACGCTTCTTTTGTTTAAACTCTGAAGTCAATATGGTATATACCCAAGGGCAATGTGTCCTAGTTGGTCCGACGGGTAACTGATTTACTCTCAACGGTTTGCGACATCTTTCGTAGAAAGATTACACCTATGTTTGAATAACGGGTTTTCTCATAGTTTAGTAGTTAATAGTTTAAAGTATAATATATAAAATTTATATTTATAGTACTCATATATACTTTTAGTATAATAGTAAATGTGATACAGTACCATCGTATTTTATTGAAATGCATTTAATAGGTCAATAATAATATTATTAAACTGTATTTTTAAAAGCCTTATCAAATAAAACCTTGAGTGTGTGAGAGCATTCGATTGGTGTATGAAATTCTATTTGCCGACAAGTAGATCAATAACCAAAACCAGTTTAACGGTGCAAGTAAGTTAATAACACTGGATTGTGAGCGGTATATACCAGTATTACCGGGTATATAATTCTAGCATACGTATACAGTTTTTTATACATTATTATGCACATTAGTACATTACTACTACTACTTTCGATCATAAGCGAAACCGGTTGATAACTTTATTATAAGAGTTCACAGAAGCCAGTCGTCCTTTTTATAGGAATATAATATCATCATTGTAGGAATTGAAAATGAAAGTTAACATGCAACGTACAAGGGTAGATTTAGATGAGTTTGTTTCCCCATACCAAAAGAAAACCTGGAATAGAAAAGAGAAATAAAAATTTGACAATTTCATAAAATCACATGAGATATTAATTTATTCAATTACATATTATTGTAACTACAATATAATTTCTAGGATTGGATAATTTATAATAGTGAAAATTGCAGTGAATGTTCATTATATACGGGATAATGTTTGTTGGTTATGAAATATTCGATAAATTAATGGTTATTTCAAGTTTCGAATTTTTTATAATATTTTTATATACATACGGCATACAGCGCATAATGTAAATTGTTGATATATTTTATAACAATCGAAATATTTTAGAAAACAATTAAATAATATCATACTATTTTTGCAAATAAATCATTTACCTGTGTTACATAGATTTAAGAACTAAAATATAAAGATTATTAAAGAAAAAATAATTTATTTTAAAAACATAATAAATTTTTCATAAGAAGTTTTATAGGCAAAATATCTTATTTAACAAATGGGTATTAAAACGATATTTGTTGTTCGTACAATCGTACCTCCTACGATAATGTTTATATTATGTCAGGTTATAATATATTACAATTTAAAAATAATAAGTAACAACTAATTATTATTTTTTCAGTTTTGTAGCTCATTTACTGCTTGACCAATATGTAAGATTTCTTTTTATTGTTAAGAAACGGTATAAAAACTAAGTCTAGACAATAGTTCATATTCTTTATATCCTTTCATGTATTTATATCTAGATCTCCCACTAACTATACATGTAATAATCTTATCAAAATAATGATGTAAATTGCTAACGAGACCTTGCAAGATCTTTTAATTCCAATCAATTCTACTGTATATTATATTACGCGAGCGACTATATTTATAAATTATACATTTTATTTGAGCTAACTAGTATTGTAATAAAATAAAATAATTTCTACAGAACTACTATTTCTGTTGTTAATTATAAAAATGTTATTTGATGTTAAAAACCACTAGTCACTATTATTTGTAAACACATATATAATAGCAACTGAATATATAAATGTGGCTTTTTTTTTTTGTTCAAGGTAAACGAAAATCTCATATAGTAATTATTGTTAATATGACTTAACACTTAAAATTGCAGAAAAACTCGATTAAAATAAAATCGTACACTGTACAAACTAACAAAATATAATATAAAGTAACAAATATTTATATTTGTGTAATATTTTGTAAATTGTAAGTTCTGATACAAAATCATTTAAAATGTCTGACGGAAACTTGGAAACAACGCAGCGTGTTTCAAATCATTTCAATTGACCGGTATATATACAATTAGAATCATATCTTACAAAAACACAATGTCTAATAGATGATATGAGAATATAACTTTATTAAAGTGCACGATATTAAATTGTCTGAGTTAACTCTATCGTAAACTAAATTCCGAATCTCGTTATTTTTACACTCGCTGCTCTGTATCCCGCACCATTCGTGTATCCGGGTGTCGCAGTAATAAAATTATACAAACACATCACTAAATGATTTACCTTGGGTAAAACTGTATTAGACATCCCTCCCATATATTGTACATATTATTAACACCCATACAATAGAGTGAGGTAATATTATAATAATAGTCTATAATATGTAGGTATACCTAATACAAGTAGTATCTATATAATACTATTATATAGAATATTATCAGCAGCTTTACACGCCCTGTGACCCTGCATGCAGGTAAATACACACAACAGTGATGTGTAGTCTACCCATAGGAAACTGATTAACAAGTACTCCGGTTATGGCGTGTACACTTGAACTGTACATAATGTCGGATACCTGTTGCGGAACATGCGGGGTTGATCACCCTGTATAATATGATACATAAATAAACGTGATCGTGCTATCACCTGTTAAGCATAATTTATAAAACAAAAAAAGCCCGTATTCAATAATATAACTGTTGTGTTTTAGACAGAAAAATTGAAATCACACCGGAGAAAATCTACTTAACATTTAATAATAATAATAATAATAATAATAATAATAATAATAAAATATTCTGATATATGATATACTGTACCATCTATAGTATGTATACTGTATAGAATACGACAGTCGAGGTATATACTTTGAATAAATAAGTTAACAATATACGAATAATAAACAAATTATTAAGGTCAATACATCGACGATTATACGATATATTGTTTGCTAACTCATAAACATCGTTAGAAATTAAAACTTGCATATTTACATTAAAACAGACATAACTAATTCAAATATATAAATGCTAAGATCGTTGAGGAAACTTCACTGATAAGTATAACCCAATGAAAGTTTTACGACAATTAATAGGTGTAATTTATAAGGCGAAACATTTATATTATACAATATACTTATATCCGATGTATAATATAATATATTATGAAAAAATTCTATGTTATCACTATTTTAAAGTTTAGGGGATGTATTATTTGTATTATCAAATATTAGAAATTCACCTTGTCGATAGCATTCTGTAGGGGAATACCAGAAGTCTTGACCATTTTTTCAGTGATACCTATGTCTGATGTGACTTGATCAGACAGAATGTTTTCGTTTTGGTCAACTTCAGTTGGCTTCACTAAATATTGCTGAATACCGACAACCTGAAATATAAAATAAAATAATTAAGAAACTAATAGATAAATATATACACATAGTTATATCAGTTTATCTGTTAAACAATTTTAGCTTAAGAAATATAACTGCAATTTACACGAGGATTTAGGGTTTGTATTTTGATAACTTTCCAAAAAATAAAGTATGTTCTAACATACATAAAAACTACAGTCATACTAGTAGAACAGGCACTAACGCACTACAAACCGTATACGTCATTAAACTCCCGAAATATTCGTTCTATAGTTATACAAGTGAGTACATATAAAGAAGAAAACAAAAAATAAAACTTGAAGAATTTCTAATAAACTTGGCTAAAATATTAACGATATTGCTTATAGAGTGGCACTTATATCGTAAAGAGGTAAACTTGTATGTATGCAAAAAGATACGCGACTTACATTGTTTTACAATTCTTTAGTTGATCATAATGGCGCAACCAGGATTTATTCAAGGGGAGGGGGTCCAAAAAAGTTATTTATCTACTGTTTTTTTTCTTTTCCTTAAATAATACATACATTTTATTGCTTGATAAACAAAATTATATTATTTAGTATACATATTTTTTATATTTTAAAATTTATATTTACAATGTATGTCAATTAATTATTATTATTATGTCAGTTAAATTATGGTATAGTCATTAGACATTAGTCTTAATATTGATTTTATCTATACATCAAGTTCAACGTGTTATTAACAAAATGCCAAATCTAATAATCAATCTAATCCATAAAATTTGATGAAAATTTCAGGGTAACTTTAAAAAATAAAAATAAATACTATTACATAAGCCAAAGAGGGGGGAGGTCCGAAACCGGGATCCACTCCCCTGGATTCACCACTGATTGATCAGCTATAAATTACAGTTATAAGAATAATGTGAAATAATATACTTAAATAAAATAGACAATCTATTATATAATTTGCTTTTGCTTATTTCGTTTAGTAAATAAAAACAATTGTATATTTATGATATTATTAAAAATACAATTAAGTAATAATGAGTCTTTGACGATGTCTTCAAAATTAACATTGTAGTTCAATGGATATGTTAGGCTATTTCTCAAGACCGGTTGTCAACAACATAGGGAAACTTCGTAATTTAATATTATGATATGTGTACATACTAATGGTCATTGATATTTTCAAGATGTAGGTATAATTTTGGTAATGACTTGTATAATACACGTTTAACGTGACTTAGAAAAATTATAAAAGTATTAAATTTTCTGGTAATTTCATAACTTATAAATCACAACCATTTATTATAGACTTATACTATATAGTATAGGTAGGAAAACATATGATTTAAGCATAACACGCATTAAAAACTAAACACTAGTATAAAAAAAAAATTGTAACAATTTACAAAAACTTAAAGTTTTAAACAATACGTACTTAAAAATTATAAAGTCATTGTTATAATATCTGAAGTATTCTTGGTAAATAATAATGATGTATCAATTAAAATAATAAATATTTATTAATCGAAAAGAAAAATAATTCACTTTCTGTATATATAAATAAAAATTCATGAGAACTCAAGTTACATTTTCGAAGGCTTAGATTTTTAATTTTATACTCCGAAACAGAATAAGAACCAAGATATTTAATTCTATAAAAATTAAATTTTAAATAAGTAGTGTTTCTGAATATTTAAAGATTATATAATAAGAGTAGTGGTCCAACATTTTGCGATAAATTCTTTTACTACTGTACTTCGCACATCAAAACTTATATTTTGATAAATAATTTGTCTAAAATTCAATTTTTATACGTCAAAATATTTAAAAAAAATTTTTGTTAATTAAAATTTTTTTAAAAAACTCAAAATTACAGCGATAAAAAATATAACTTTTTTTTTTGATAAATGCTATTTTTTAACGACTTAATATGATGCGACAAAAATATATTTAAAAACGATAATAGCTATTAACATAATCAGTGTTTTACATTAAACAAATTACCTGGTAGAACGACTACGAATTGGTTCCCAATTATCGAATTGGTTCCCGGATTGTCTACAGGTAACATACAAGTTGGTTCCCAGGTTGTCTACAGGTAACATACGAATTGGTTCCCGCAAGCTTTCATGATAATACAACCTTGTTAAATTAACTTTTCAAATTATTATGGTATATTCAACCAGCAACAATTTCCTTCCCATTTATTCAGACTTAGGACTGTCTAGAATTTAACGCACACACTAGATTAGTTGTCACAAGACTGACGAAACATAATCAATTTATTAGATATAAAATTATATTTATAAACTTTCCAAGACATCGTAAAACCTAATAAAATATTATAAGATTATCGACTGTACATATACGTATCTTGTAACAGTATAAACTAGACTGATAAACTGATAAGTATTTTTTTCGGGAACCAATTCGTATACATTTAATTGACCCGGGAACCAACTCCACGTTTGCCACCTGGTAGGTATGTATTATCTATATTGCAAACGATATATAATATCAAATTACTAATAATATACTAGTTATTAATTCACTAAATCAGTGGTTTTCAACCTTTTTTGTTTGATGACACCCTAATTTAGATCCAAAAAAATGGCGACACACTCAGGCCTAGACTGGGAGGATACCAAGCCTACTAACCCAGGCGGCCCGTGATCATAGATACAATATTAAAAAATACTTTTTTTTTTGCTCATTAATTGTATAAAAAAGTTTGTGTCATTTAATATTAATACTTTACGCGACACATCGGTTGAGAAGAACCACGGCATTAAAAAATACTCATTATTTCTAAATAAATAAACTTTTTAAATTCATTTTGAATTTTGAATTTTTTATTGAATTTTAAATCAACCCTTTAACCAATTTTTTAATGTTTTTTATCTTTAAAGTTTTTTATTTAAATTAAATTTTTTTGAATGATACACATTTTTAATTTTATGTTTTATACTAATTATAGTACAATAAATTATAATGCTAGTAATAAATATTAGTACAATTAAATTGATTAATAACTTTTTTTTTCTTTGAATACTTTAAAAGACTAAATTTTGGTATTGATAAAAGGTACCTATACTCGTATATTATCGAGATATGGTTGGTTAAGCTCTGTACTGTTTTTGGCAAATGACTAATATAAAATACTAATATTGGAATCATAACACTATATATAATAAATTAATAACCGCATATAATGCATTTTACTATAGGTATATAATTTTAAATATAGATATTGGTAGTAAAATACATAATGTAAATAAGATACATATTTATAAATTATAAGTAAAGATCCTTATACATTAGTGCATTATTCATGAATTATATTGTTTACCTACTTTTACCAAACTTTTTCTTTATTTATAGACAAAAAAAGCACATACAATAAATAATATAATTTTTAGGTTTTTTTAATTACTTCAATGTTATACTAAAATTCATATTTATTTTAAATTATATCCCTTAAATTTATAAAGATATATAAGTTAGTTAGACTCCTCTTATAATACATATGTATTTAATACATTGTACAGGTATATCTATGAGAGAAGTGGTTTGTTCTCAATTCTTAAGCTTCTCTTAAAAAACATTTGAAAAGATTTTATAAAAAAACACGATGTAAAAACACATTTAAAAATAACTAAAAACATATTTTCACCTCTTTCTTTTGTATGCTTTAAAAAAAAAAAAAAAATATTAACATCAAGAAGGACACTTATCACTAGGGTGCGAATTTATATATAAATGTATACATATTTATGATGAGTGATAGTAATCGAACGATTCTTCCATAAAAATATGTTTCAAAACAATCTGAATGCTTAAAGCCATGGTTGATACTACATATTTTTGTTAAATATTCCCCTATATTGAAAAAATTATCATTATGACGTTAAATCTGTATACGTGGAAAGGTCTAATTATTAACACAGATAAATGTTAAAAAATTTTTTTTTCTCGTCATAAATTAAATTTAACTAATTATCAATATAGAATTAATAATGTGAATTCAAAAATAGTACCTATCACAAATTAAATATTTAGGTATTCTGTTATCTTATACTAATAATACTGTCTTATAATAATCATAATAATTCAATGTGCAATAAAGCTCTCCTTATATTCGGTTTCGTACGTCACAATTGCTCGGAGTTTAATAATCCAAATTACTTAAAAGTATTTAATTTCTCTCTAGTTTGATCTATTTTAGAATATAGCTCAGTAATTTGAAACCCTCATCAATCTAGCTCAATAAATAAAACTGAATGTATTCAGAATTAATTTAACATTTAAAACTAATAAAGTAGGTACCTATTTCTCTTTAGAAACTAACAGATCAGTTTAATATTGAATCACTTGATAAAAATAGTAAATTTAATGATGTACTCTGGCTTTATAAATTACTTAACTACTAAATCAATTGTCCAGAACTTTTGAGTTAAATTTAAATACTTTTCTATGTCCCTAGTGTTAAAATTTATATATCTCAAATATTCCAAACAAATATCTACCGGTAGAATTAAAGTCTTTTTGATCCGATTAATAGAATGCTAATTACGGGGAATTTATTAAAACATTTGATTTCTTCAAGACAACCTAACCAATTTACTCTAAAATGTTTACCCTATTCTATATACCTAATTTACATTGTTTTATTATCATTAATTAATCATTCGATTTGTATTTTAACTATAAGTATTAAATTGTAACGTATAAACTGTACTAAGCCCACTTAGGCGTTTATTATCAATAAAAAAAAAATTAAAAAAATGCTACAAATGAGATGACAAACGGTAATATTATTATTACATAATATGCATAATACACTAATGCGTAACATAACATATACATCTATAATATGCTTAAAAATAATACACACACACTGTTCGTTTTAATCGTCGTTCTCACACGTCACGTGATTGGCAATTACGATCTCGCGGGTAGTGATGATCAATGGGTGTTTGCCGTGTGGAAGGAGGGGGTAACGAGTACCAAAAAAACGAGCG